GGAAGACCCAATACTATTCTGGGCTACTGGACTCTTTTAGAATATTTTACTGAGTTTACACACCTATAATATTCAAATAACGGAACTTAACAAAAAAAGGGGATACAGATGAATGTCCATTTTGTATCTGCGTATTCAAAGTGGTTAGGGTAGATATATAGTTACATTCTCTTAATGAATAGAGCGATTTGGTGTTTGTAAATAGGATATCATGTCTGCATCTTGTACAGCAGTTAACCACTAGGAAGAATGTATGCAATGTGTGAATTACTGAAACTGTCCTACCAATTGGATTTGAAACTGTCTCATTACTATTTGTTTATCAATAAAATTATGGGGAAAAAAAAAAGATTTAAGGGTGTGGGCCCGGGTAGAGAGCTCAGTAGAATAAGCGCTTACCTGGCAAGCACAGGGTCCTGAGTTCAATCCCTGGTACAAAAAAAAAAGGAAAGATTTAAGGGTGGTAGAAGATACTGAAGTAGACAACTTGATTAAATGTCTATTTTCAGGAGGCTATTCTGCAGGAGACATGTAGAGAAGAACTAATGTGGAGAGGTCAGTAAAGAAAGTGCTTATATTGTTGATGTCCATAGAGGTGATGACGTAGGATGGGGTGTGATATGGACAGTAGTAAAGGAAAGAAGAGCTTCACAATGATTGTGGCAGGTGGTGTCTAGGACGTAGAGGGGTAAGGTTATAGCAGAGGACACAAATCAAGAATGACTGAATGACCTGTACGTTAACCAGCTCAGGAAGTGGGAATTTTTATTGAGACAGAAGTGTGGAAAGGGAGCCAGGTTTTCTTTTTCTTCATTCTTTTTTTTTTTTAGATGAATCTCATTTTGAACATATAAATTTTGAGATGCTTATACAACATCTGACTGGAATTGTAAAGTGCGGAGTGTATATCTGAATTATGAATACAGAAGTCAAGTCTGGCCTTGATAAATGTGTGATGGTCATCAGTCTATTAGTAGTATGCAGTTTGAAGAAGGAGGTAGTGAATTTAAATAATCCTAAAGAAAGGGAAAGTGAGTTGGTAGGAAAACAAGTTAAGGCTGTGGTTGAAAAACAAAGGGAGAAACTACCCACATGTACAGAGTTTTGAAGCCACTCCATGTATTATTCTAATTACATGATTCTTAATATTTGATGTTTTGTTTTTCAGTTACTGAGGTTAGACATGAAAATTTGTATCATTTGACTTAGAATAAATTTCTTCTGATCCTTCTATTATCTTTGGAATAGATGTTTGTTATACTTTATCTAGAAGAGCATCCAGCCTGTCAAAAACAAAAGAAAATGGGAAAGTGAATTTGGAAACTTGTATAATTGTGTTAGTTTGAACCTTTAATTTCTTTGCTCTTCATCTGAAGAATATTTTCACCATTTTTAGGGTATAAAAATTAACGGTTATTGGACCTAGCAAAAGTATACAAAAGAACCAAATATTTTCACTTTAATGGAATTCTTACCTCTATGGAGTACTTTTGTAACCATTTATTTTCAAAGTATCTTTTCCTCCCTCATTGTTAAATAAATTTTTTACCTTTTCAGCGACTTACTGAACTAAAGCGCCATTGTTTAGAGAAAGAGGAACGTTTTCAAAGTATTGCTGGTTTAAGTACAATGAAGACTAATTTAGAATATTTGAAACATGAAATGGCCTGGGCAGTGGTAATTTTTACCTGATTATTTATTTACATACATTTATAATAAAAAGGATATTTGGTGGTTATTAGTCTTAATGATTTGCTATATAATTTCTTTGTAGGTCAATGAAATTGAGAAACAGTTGAATGCTATCAGAGATAATATTGAAATTGGAGAAGATCGTGCTGCTAGACTTGATAGAAAAATGGAAGAGCAACAGGTAGTTTCTTTTTATTCAGATAGAGTGGATGAAATTCTATGAAATTGCTGATAATAGATTTTATACCTGGCAGTTTAACTTGAAATTGTTATCTGTATTTGAATTATTACTCTGTTGAAGCAGACCTGTCTTTTAAAAAGGGTATTAGGTTTGACTTGTTAAGACTGAGGCAAGGGCTGCAGGTTCCTTGGACTTCGTTACTAGCTAGAGATACTGGAATGGTGAGTAGGTGATACACAAAATACCTGAGAGGTAGAGGTGCTGGGATAATAGAAGGCGTAGTGCTCAGAGATTCTAATGGAAGTTGAAGTGAACTAAGTTTTAGGTCCTAGAACACATAATCTCTGAGAGAATTTCATACAGATGGAACAGGTTAGGTAGCTTGTTTGTTTTGTTGAGGTTAATCTTAACCTGAGATTTAAAAAAGTACTATAGGGGCCAGGGAGATAGCTCAGTGGTATCAGTGCCTGCCTGGCAAGCACAATGATCCAGATTTAATGCTAGCCAAAGAAACCAAGTGTGGTGGTGCACGCCTGTAATCCCAGTGCTGGGAGGCTGAAACAAGAAGATCACTATGCGGCTAAACTGTATAGTGAGACCCTGTACCAAATGAATAAATTACAAAAAAAACAAAAAAAAAAAAATCATTTTAGCACTGTAAAATCCAAGAAAGTCACATAAGTCTTCCACAATGGCTTTAAGGTTGAGTGATAAGTAGTCAGGGCTGTCATTTTTGGGTTACCATGTGAACATTGCTTCTCATATGCCCACTCTTTGTGTTTGGTTTTTCTAGAACACCTTTGTGGCAATGTAATTCACATGCCATTTAAAGTATATAATTCAGGGTGGCCAAGTAGCTCTGTGGATTAAAGCGCCTGCTAAGGCAGAGGCAGGGGCTGAGAGTTCAATCCCTGGGCCTGCTGTGCCAGCCCCGCCCCTGGAGCATGCTAAGATGGCAATTGAGACTGAGCGTGGCGACGCACGCCTATAATCCCAGCACTTGGGAGGCTGTAAACAGGAGGATCACTATGAGTCCCATCTACACAGTGAGACCCTGTAGACTCTTTAGACCCTGTCCTAAAATAGAAAAAAATAAATAAAAAATAAAGTATGCAATTCAGTGAGTGTTAAGGTGATTCACAAGGTGTGAGTCCCATGGTGAAGCCCCACATGGTGTGACCCCGTGAACGTGGACACCCTGCTTTTTTCTTTACAGATGCCTACCCATGAACTGTATTAGTGTGGGTTACTTAGCTCCTAGTATTGTGCTCTGCTTTGCTTAGGTACTTCTGGCTCCCAGACCTGATTGTGGTATGGGATGTAATCCCCCTTTGCTTGCTTTTTCTTCACAGATAAGCAGATGTATTTTTCTTTGTATAGGTTATGATAGTAATCCATCAAAGGTAATAAAGAACTTGGAAAGATGATAGAAATGGTATAGATAGTACATTTACTTAGTGATCTTTCATCTGAATTTCTTGCCCCCTCTTGCGGTAATATAACTGAATAATTGGAAGTCCAGTCTTTCCCAACCTTTTCTTGCCTGAGGCTGACTGACT